ATTTAATTTTTTTTAAATCTTTCATTTGGGAACCCCAGTGAAAGAAAAAAAAATTAGATTTAAAAAAAAAAAAAATCAAACCTGAAAGAAATTCAAACGTGAGCAATTGTCTGACATGAATAAATCAAAACTCTACGCCAGGGGGTTTTAACCTTTTTTCACACATTGACCAATTTTACTCTTATTTTTTTTTATTTTTTTTTTTTTTTGTATGGACCCCCAAAAACATTCGATGAAAAAAAATAATTATTTTATTTTTTACCAATACATAAGTTTAAGAATTGTATTATAGAAATAGGAAATGTATACGCTTTGTTTTAAAATAAAACTAATTTGATATAAATAAACTTGTATTTAACAAGAAAATTCTATGGAATATATATGTAGACAAGTAAAATAACTCATAATAAACAATTCTAAGATATGTGAGTGGTTAAAATATTTTTTAAAATGTGCAACTTTATTTAATAAGATTATATTCGGTTCCATCGATGTCGATGATAGCCGAAGATCACTCCTATCTTGAAATACTAAACAGTAAATTTATTCAATTAAATCGTCATTGGCTTCAACCACGGTCTCCGGACGACTTCGGAATCGCATGCAACTCTTCTGGACGGTCTCCTTGTTTAAGTTGGTGAATGCTGCCATAGTTCTTGATTTCAGTTCATCTTTAGTGTTACAAGGAGTTTTGTTGGTCTCTCGCTCTTCCCACACATAATAATCAAGGGCGTTGCAGTCTGAGGGGGTGGCAAGATGTAAGGGATGATGTGGTCTCAGAAATTGTCTGATAGTCATGACTAGGTCCTCCTGCTTGTGACATGATGCAGAGTCCTGTTGCAAGGCATAGAGGCTTTCAGAAGCCAACCTCTTGACCCATGGCACCACTAGCTCCTCATGGTACCTGATGCAAGTGACTGAAGTCAAGTCAGGTTCGATTACATTACAGATCCCAGTTTGGATTTTGTCGAGAACCTCGAGATGAATAGAAAGAGCAACAGACCAGATATGGCAACATTATTCAATGCAGAGACGAATGGCAGATTTGTAAATGTGCAAGGTAGACTCTGACGAGAAAAATGTCCTGGTACGACACAGTGACACACGTTCGATTCCTCTTGGAGGCACAATTGTTCTTTATTAGGTTTCCGTGATTTACGCCGCTGTTATTGATTTCAATGTTTAATAAAATAAAAAAAAGGGGCAGCAACTCTAACACGTTTAGCCACTAAAACTAACTTTTATAGTAGTAATAATATATATATATATATATATATATATATATATATATATATATATATATATATATATATTACAATGAGTCATTTATACAAAAAGTAGATTAGTAAAGTTAATGATATAAAAATGGCGAAATCCGTTCGCGAACAAAAGTAGTATTAACCTACAAATCACTCGATGAATGTTATGATCCTTGTTTTTAATAATTATAAACTGTATAAGGTCTTTTTTAATATGCAAGTACTTTCAACTGTACATTCAGTCATCTTCAGGCATGACGATTGCGTCTAGCATGAAACAGATTGTCGCCTCTAAATGTTTTCTTTTACACACACACACATATATATATATATATATATATATATAATTCAAAACTAAAAGCTTCGGTGACAGTTGGCCTAATATAAATACTGCTACTAAATACCCGAAACGTTTCGACCGTTGTACGCTCCGGCGTTCTTCAAATGATTGGAATTTCGAACTGAACCCTTTATTTCGTCCACCAGGGTACATTTTTATTTGCATTCCAAACTTCTTCGATGGCTGAAGCTTGTTTTAGCCACTTAAATGCCATTATAATTAAGAAACGGAACCTGACTGAACCTAAAATAGCGTGATAACTCAAGAACTTACAACTAAAAATTTCTTGCTTACTGTTCATCAAAAGCTTCCTCTCCATTAATGATGGTAAGCAATTCAATAAAAAAATTAGGTTAATATATTTTTGATGTGCTTATTATTCAAAATATTATTCATGACTTTTCTCATTATTATTATTATTATTGTTACTAGCAGTAGAGCCCGGCGTTGCCTGGGGATGTAACAGTAAGAGATAGATCAAGTATTGACCATCATAAAGACTGAAAAATAAAATTGACAAAGATTATTGTTTATGGTTGACAGACACGCATGTCTTAATTTTTTTTTGTTTTGTTTTGTTGTTTTGTTTGTTTTTTGTTTTTTTACGAATTGGTCAAACCCAAACTCAAAGAAAAACATTGTTTTAAATCGTTATGAGTCTACCGATTGAATAGAATTTTATTATAAACAATTGTCTGGTAAATGGAATTTTTAAAGCATTCTGAATGTAAAAATAAAGAAAAAAGTGTGCAAGACAATAAGAAACACTGCCTGCCAAACAAAAAAGTGAAGTTTTGTTGAAATCGGTTGAAAAATGTAGGAAATACGATCCCATATATGAACGAACGCACACACACACACACACACACACACACAAAAAACAACCTTGGTTTTATAAGTATAACTTGATATGAGTTGTCCCCCTTTCATTCTCGCGATGCCTCTTATTCGTGTTTTCAAATTGATTTCGTGCAAAAACAATTGTGTTTTAATTTTTAGTGCTGTCAGAACCACCGCAAGGTAATTTTACGTAGTCCTGTGAAGTTTTGTTGAAATCGGTTGGAAAATGTAGGAAATCCGATCCAATATATAAACGTACACACACACACACACACACAACCAGGGTTTTATAATAAGTATGATTATTGTTGTTGTTGTTGTTGTTGCTGTTGTTGTTGGTGGTGGTGTTGTTGTTGTTGTCTTCTCTTCTGTTTCATTTTTAACCCGAGATCTTGCATTATGGGTGTTCGCCATCTTGTACGATCTCAAACAGATCTCACTTTTCACAGAATATATGCAGAGCCAAGCAAAGTAGGCTGTTGTATTAGGCTCCCTTATTTTCTTAATGTAAGTTTTTAGGTTCGTTGGTATATATTACGTGATTACAAATAAGTCACAATAGTAATATTTACGCATAATATGGGAGCGTGGCCGAGTACTTAGAACAAAGGTCTTGAAACCTTTTCCACCAACGATCCCTTTATGGAATCCTTGTTTTTTCAACGACCCCAGGCAGGTAAAAAAATATCAGTAATGATTATTTCTTTTATTTAAGAGTAGAAATTCTGTTTTATTTTTCCTTCATTATTTTTCTCGATTAAATTTTTTTAGCGTTAAATTTGAGCTAACGAAAGTCGACTAAGCTGCGATGTGACGTATCAGAAATTAAGTCGTGTGTTTTAACGCAACGGACGACAATATAGACTTGTGTGGTGTAAATGTTCAAGACTTTCGTCATTTCGTTTTGTTGAAGGTCCGCTAGATCGTGCTTATTCTTTTCTAAATGTGTTTAATTGTTCACCAAGTTTTAAACACGGTTACAGCTTGTGAACAGTTATTTTGCATAAACTTTTTTTTTCCTTTAAAAACTTCTCAAAGTATTCAAAATAGTTTCAGCAGGAGACTTCCCCCTCAAAATAAAACAATACTTTGCGCACACTTTCTGTTCATTTTTTTTTTTTTTTTTTTATCAGCCATCACGAAAATTGATTAAATGGGGCTGGCAAGCACCAAAACAAGAAGATGTAAGAAACAAAACAGTCATTGCAGAACCAATGCAGATAGCTATCCTGTGTAGGTCGGCTCAGAATCGTGTCGACGCGTGACACCTAGCGGCGAAATGTGTAACTATGTCCAGTTTAAGAAACATATTATAATTTATTTTTTAGGTATCATTTGTGTTTCTATGTTTGTCTGTGTGTGTGTGTGTGTGTGTGTGTGAGAGAGAGAGAGAGAGAGAGAGAGAGAGAGAGATAGAGAGAGAGAGTGTGTGTAGTAGTAGTAATAATGGTCATGGTAATTTGTTTGTTTAGCGGCATATCAAATCCTTGTTGGTCACTTAATGCAAAATTTTAATTTTCTTGTGATTATTTGTAATATTCTTTACAATTGCTGGTATTTTTTTATTTTTTTTTGGAAAATTTATTACAGCAATTTTTACAATAAAAATGTATTTTTATACTTTCAAATTGTCTGACAACAGCTTGAGTCTTAAATATCTACTCATAGCTGGGATCCTAACAGATGCTATCTCACCAGGTCAGCGTGAACCTGGAAATAATATCTATTGAGAGTTTGGTTCCACGCTCCTTATAACCTTCAATCTCCCGATCTTGCTGCCGAATGTAGCTAACTGCCATACCCAGAACGAATTAGTAGTATTAGTAGTAATAGTAATATCGATAGTAGCTGTAGTATTAGCAATAGTAGTAGCAAAAAATTTATATTTTATACATTTATATGAAATTATTTTATATACATTAATCATTCAGTTTGTTCTGTCCATTAAGCAAAGTTTATTTTTACCTGTCTTCTTTGTTTATTTTTATGCGCCATGTCCTTTAAGGACGTGGGCGATTTTGGCTCTCTACCTCCCTCTATCCTTCCCTCTGCTTCCTCCCGCAGAACACGTTCTGTCATCCACATGCTTAAGGCCGCCAGGTATGTCACACGTTGTTTTCCCTTGTCTCTCTTTCCCTCTATTCGACTTCTGAGTATCAGACTCTCCAGGCCCCCTTTCCTCATTATCTGTCCCAGAAATTTTAGCTGCCTCTTCGTGATGTTAAGTATAAGCCTCCTCCTTGTTTGAAACCTCTCTAAGACCTCATCGTTGTTCAAGCGCTCGGTTTTTTTGTGCTTTTGTTGTTTGTTTTTTTTTTTTGTTTGTTTGTTTTTTTTGTTTATTTTTACATCAGCTAAAAGACTTGTCTCTCACCTGGGAATATTCGGCGATAACTTCTTTTATAAACAATGAAAAACAAAAGAAATATCGATTCTTTGCTATTATAACGTTAAATTCATGACATGCGTGTCTTTTCTAAAAATGTTCGAGGAACTTGACGCGTTAACTAACTTCAACAATGAAAGGGAAGATACCGCGCCAATCAGACTTAAAATAAAACCGGTACGTTTGAAGAAACATTGAAAACACGATTAATATCCGTCAGAACAAAACTAGTCGTGCCTCGGGGAATTGAAAAAGACTCAATTGTAGCTAGCAAAGAGAAAAATCCGTGAGCAGTAAATTCACATGAAGTTGTCGTCGAAGAAAAAAAATGATTCCTAGTAAATTGTAATTGTAACGAAAATCTGTACCCAATGGCATCATCCAGCTCACAGATAGATAGATAGGTAGATAGATAGATAGATAGATAGATAGATAGATAGATAATGAACCGGCATAGATAGATAGATAGATAGATACATACATACATACATACATACATACATAAGCCAGCAGATAGATAGATAAATAGATAGATAGATAACGAACCCGCATAGATATACATACATACATAGATACATACATAATGAGCCAGCAGATAGATAGATAGATAGATAGATAGATAACGAACCCGCATAGATATAGATACATACATACATACATGCATACATACATAATGAGATAGTAGATAGATAGATAGATAGATAGATAGATAGATAGATAGATAGATACTTGTATTCGAGGATACCTGTCTACTAAGCTGGCTAACCAATCCCAATTGTAGACGCTCGCTCAGGCACATTTTGTGTTTGCTCAACACCTACAGAGGCCACCTGTGCTATATACTGCAACTATGCTGAGCAGACCTAATTACAGTTTCTGGGAGAGAACCAGCACGCTCAAACCCTCGGCCACGAATATTTGTTGCTTGTGGCTCGAGAAAACATACCTAAATACAAACATAATGAACCGGCATAGATAGATAATGAACCGGCGTAGTTTTTTTTTTATTAATGTTCACTCTATACAAGGCCCAAGAGCCAGTCAAGGTGGAGCATTAATGAAGGTTGATGCTTGAGCGGTAAGAGTAAAAGGTAAGAGACACAATTTAAGATATGTCAGAAAGATAACGATTTACCCTAGACGTGAAGAGGATAGGATTGTAGTGGTCAGAAAAGCATACGCTTGGGAGTCAGTTTCACAAAGTATCGGGTTGTAGGAAGCAGATCTTCTGCTGATGGAATACGAAGTGAATGTGGATAGGTCCGCTCAGTATACGCGACGGGTCGAGTTTTATCCCTGATAGAGTTGGTGGAACTTATAAATGTAGCTCACCAAAATATATGACATGGACGGAGTAGCGAGAGGATGGCAACGTTTCATCTGTGGGAAAGGAGATTTTTTTTTTTGGGGTAATTCCTGACCAAAAGAGCGCGTAGATGCTTTTGAACTCTATCAAGAATGGACATTGAAGACTTGGAAGTTCCTGTCAGTATATGGTAGCAGTACTCTATTTTCGGTTTCCCTTGGCTCTAGCAGAACGGTAGAGCATAGCAGGAGGAGGTTAGGTAATTCAGCCGGTTATGTGCCATGCGTGATAACCGCTTAGGCGATCATGTATCTTTCGATTCATGACTGACGAGGCAGTTTTTTTCCCCGCAGTAGTTTGCCATTTCTTTCTACGGTAGACCAGCTGCCATCCAAAGCTACAGAACCCTGTCTATTTACTATATATCCTGGCGGGAGGGAATGAAGAAAAGGATTCATACAAGAATATAATTAAAATTCTTAAAGTGCTTAACAATTCAGTCAGTTATGTGCCATGCGTGATATACGCTTAGGCGATCATGTATCTTTCGATACATGGCTGACCAGGAGGTTGTCATTTCTTTCTGAGGTAGACCAGCTGCCATCCAAGGCTACAGAACCCAGTCTGTCCTACTATTTACCCATAGCTGGAGGGAGAAGAGGAGTCATATCTTTCCCAAGAGTATGAGCACGTAAGTGAATTTAATTTTTCGACTGGAATTCAAACTCGGCTTTCCGATTCCTCAATTACTGGAACAGTACAGGGAACTGACCGTTTTTTCCAGCATCTTTAGCGATGGATCGTGTGTACGAGTTCCACCTGAGATCTGGGGTGAGACTGTCCCAACAGACGGCCAAAGCAAGTTTTGTTCCTGTTGAGGTGATCAGAAAACGTTCTTGCTCAAAGTTGATGGCACTAACGAGGCTGATAGGCCGATACTGAGACGTGGATGAGCGCTCATCCACGTTCTTACTAAGTGTGCGCTTCGTTTCAGGGAAGAAGTCAAGAAGATAATGTCTTTTGTCACCTAAGGTGGAATTGGAGTCAAATACCGATGTAAAGTGCATTGTTCTTATCTGACAAGAATGAGATAACCTCAGTGCCATCTACGATAGTAGGCACTGACGCTTTGTCTCCATTGAGAATGAGATTTTACAAGAGAATTTAACGGGATCCAAATTTTTTGCTTTCGACCTTGGCTTGAACAGAACTTTGCATATTCTAGGACTCTCTTGTAATGATGGCGGCCACTTCTGATCGCAACAACTGTCCTACTACAAGGTTTGCGTGATAGATATTGTAGTAGAAGCTACAATGAGCTATGGTTGCAGCACATTCTGGAGTGAACTAGGGCAGGTTATTCGGTTTTTGTTGGTACATTTTTGGGGCTATAAAACTTTACATGCCAGAAAGGATACATTCAAAGATGAGAACTCTAGAGAAAGAAGCCTGGAAACCATACCAAGGGTTGACCCAAGCCTTGTGAGTGAAACTGGAGAGACTGACACCTTTGAGAGCCGTCGATGGTTGCGCTAGCACGAATTCACAAGTCATCGTGTCCGAGGGTTTGAGCGTGCAGGCTTTGTTCAAACTGTTGATCATGAACTGTCTCCCAGAAACTGTAAGTAATGTCCGCTTAGCATAGTTGCAGTATAAACCACAGATGGGCTCTGTAGATGTTGAACATGCATAAATGTGCCTCAGCAGGCGTCTGCAACAGGGATTACCTAACCGCCCTAGTCGACGGGTACCTTCGGATACGAGTGGCCGGCCAGCCATATTTCAATAACGCTGAGTGAGGAACTTCTGCCATGTAAGCTATACCAGTCAGGGAACCGAAATATCGTTCTATGAAACGGCACATCATGGAATGCTTTTCGTTTGGCAACGACTTTATCCATGACGAGTGAATGGTCTGAAGGGCCCAGGGGAGGTAACGATTCAACGGAGGAATTTTCGTAGCAGAATGTGTGGAAGTGGTCTCGGAGGTTCGCGTGATATCGGTGGGCTCATCAACAATGGAGAAGTCTTGGTAATATCTACCTTCTTCACCGGTTTTGTTCGAATACTCTTTGTGGTGGATACTGAAGCCGCCGCAAACGTGAATGCTAGCTGAGTGATGTTCATAGAGCATAACATCAATATTTTCAGGAAAATGAAAGAGGTACTGTGAACAACGGCCACACAAAAGCACATGAATGTGAAATCAGGGTCCTCGATTTTTTTGATTTTTTTTTGGTGGGGGGTCTCTGCTACATGGGAACCCGTGCTTTATGTACACGTCAAGTCCGTGTCCGTACCGATTTCAAGCGTCATTTTTCACTATTAGGAGAGAGTAGCTAGGGATTGCGAGTACCTGTACGGGGATAGATAGATTGATACCAGTTTCACACAGCAACGAGAGATCAGGTTCAACCTCTGGAAAGTTCGACGTAAACCCCTCATATGTATACAGGAGTTAGTGAATCTGCGGTGAACTTTTCCTTTTTAGCGGTTGAGTTTGGTCCTGTTGTTTTATTTTGTTGTAGTCGGAACTAGATAGCAGATATTGGTACAGATAAAGACGAGGTAGAGAAATGGTCACACCCGCAGTTAGTGCATGCATAAACAATTTGAATTGCACTGTCCGGAAATACAGCCATAACTGTACCCTTCATCATGGCATTGAGAAGCATCACAGGAGACTATAGCACGGTCCTGATCCCATTCTCAAAATATCATTACAATAGCTCCGATATTATACACCTGATGACTGAATAGCCTCTTCAGAAGTTATGTTCTTACTTATCAGGCAAATAACACCAACACAGAAAACATTAGGACCAGCAACCTGAAAAAGATTGACAAATAATCCGGGAAAGATCTGAATGCACACGTCTACCCTACCCAGAAATCACGACAACAGAACTTCTCCCTGAGTCAGTAACATCATGACTAAGATGAAAGTTTAGGCACCGAAACAAGCTCGCTCACATGTGAGAACTAAAAGACCCACTGGATGAAGGAAGTTGCATAGATTGCTCGGGGTGCATCGACATCCCCTCCGTCTATTGGATTGAATATATTCGTAAGACAAAACAAAATGAACGAGAAAGCTATAATTGGCTGAAAGATATATTGACGAACATAGATAGATATCATAATTCATTTTAATAACAAGTATATATATATGTATATATATATATATATATATATATGTGTGTGTGTGTGTGAAAAGTATATAAATATAAATAAATATATATATGTATAATTATTTATATATTATATGCACGGTACTTATTAGAAAACGCTCAATATCAGAGATAGAGCTAACATATTTGGTTGGATAGATGTGGGTTTGTGACCCTGGGTTTCACGCTTTAGCGATCGTCAGACAAACGCTAAAGCGTGAAACCCAGGGTCACAAACTCACATCTATCCAACCATATATATATATATATATATATATATATATATATATATATATATATGTCTACTGATGAGCTGTAAAACAGCGAAATAGTCTGTCTGTGGATGACGTTTTATATGTACATATATATATATATATATATATATGTCTGTGTGTGTGTGTGTGTGTGTGTGTGTGTGTGTGTGTGTGTGAAAATATATAGAAAATAGGAAAGAACTCGCTAGGTAAATAATCCAAAGTTCTTTAGTATTTTTGTTATTATTTTTAAAAAACAGTGCTCGATACAAAAGTAGAGCATAAATATAATCATATTTTTAAATAAATAATTATATATATATATATATATATATATATATATATATATATATATATATATATATAGAAAGAGAGAGAGGGGGAGAGAGGATTAATATAAGTAAAAGGTTGTCAGTTAGCTGATTGATGTTACGTTCAGGATGACGACTCCAGAGATTCATAGACGGAACTTCCGTCCACTCTTCAGGGGTATCAACAATTGACTAATTATATTTCTCTATTTTCCTTTTTTTATGCACTTATCATTGCTGTAGGGTTTTTCCCCCCCCTATTGTTTGTGTTCATGCGTGCAATTTCTACGCGTGCGGCCATGTGCCGTGTGTGCGGATGAATATTCACGCACGTGCACCCGTCTGCGGGAATCTGCGTACGTCTAGGATGTCGTAAATATTTTTCCTTTTTATCATTTTTTTTACGTTACACTCCCTGTTTAGATTGTTCTCCTTGTTTTTTCTCTTTTCTTTCAAATGTAGCCATTTCTAACCAATTATGTTTTCTGGACATGCCACCGTCTTTATTTTTTTGAACGTTTTAGACACTTTAGGCTAGGAAAGTTGTATTTCGTTTTTTACATAAATAATTGATATTAATGCTTAAATAATACACACACACACACCACACACACACACACTCTTAAGGCCAGATATAAAAAGTGTTTAAAAAAAATAGGAAATACTGTCACTTTAACTGAAATATATTTGCGAAACATTTACATTAAAATTATTAATAAAAATTTTCACTTGCTTGTTAATAAACTACATTTTCCAATTAAATGTAAATATTTGGGAAATATATTTTGATTAAAGTAAGAGTATTTTATGTTTTAACCCTTTGTCTATCTGGTCTTAAGATTTTGACCAGAGTGTATATATATATATATATATATATATATATATATATATATATATATGTGTGTGTATATATATATATATATATATATATATATATATATATATATACAGTGTAACCCGGATATAAGAGAGTTGTCGGGACCGGAGAAGTCTCTTATATCCGGATTTCTCTTATATCCGGGTTTTGTCTACTTTATATACATTAACACAGGCTCTAATTTGAGACCAGAGAAAATCTCTCTTATATCCGGGTTTCTCTTATATCCGGGTTTCTCTTATATCCGGGTCTCTTATATCAGGGTTACACTGTATATGTGTGTGTGTGTGTGTGTATCTATATATGTGTGTGTGGTACTTATTGGAAAGTGCTCAATATCAGTGATAGAGCTAACATATTTACTTGTATGAATATGAGTTTGTAACAAACAATTGATTGTATATATATACATATATATGAATTATTCACACAAAACTAATGCAAAGGTTAATACTTTAAAAAGACGAAAGCTTGTAGTAAAAATAACAACTAATACGGCAGAAATTTATATAAACAAGGATCAATTCATTTATAACGGATCTGAGGTTTTTGTATACTATTTGAATTGTTTGCGATGATGGATGTCTCGCCATTTAAAGCATTAACCTTTGCATTAGTTTTGTGAATAATTCATGTATTTGTAAATTGATTGCACGTTTATCGTAATATATATATATATATATATATATATATATATATATATATATATATATATATATATATTCTCTTGCCTATTATTTCGTTTTCTTTTTTTTGCTTTGGTGGGATCTTGAGCATTAATTTTAGGACATTAGATTTATAATTAAATTCTTTGAATTTATGTGCATATCTATGTATTTATAAGTTTGTGCATACACACACGCGCACATTCAAGCTTATACGCATATAGGTATACACCCGTAAAAAGTTAAAAAGGAAAACTTTTCTTTACCAGTGTGTTTCGTCCTCTGATCGACTTAATCATGTTAAATGACATTTTATTGATAAGATACACCAGAGAACGAAATGCTTTTGTAAAGAAGTTTTCCTTTATTTCTTTATTCACATTGTCTTTTTACAGATACACTTTATTTTATCTAAATTTTAACAGATAGATAACGAGATAAGATAGATTCTGAAGTTATGCAAACACATAAACCTCAATAAATCGAATTTGCTTTGCAGAGTTGTTTTCAAATTTTAAAAGATTAATTAAGATTTCAAAACAAACCTTGAGTTAAATGTTTGCGTATTTTCAACATGTTTTGTTAAAGTTATTAGATTTATTATAAAAACTTCGTCGTTTCGTTTAATCTGCATAATAACTTCAGACTTTATAATAAATACAATAAGTTAAAAAAAACGTTGAAAATACCTCAAAATTTACCTCAAACTTTGTTTTGACGTCTGAATTAATCGTTTAAAATTTGACAAAAATTTTCAAAGCAAATTCGATTTATTGAGGTTTATGTGATTTGCACACTAACACCTGAATCTATCTATCTATCTATCTATTTATCTATCTATCTGTCTGTCTGTCAGATGGACTGTACATAAAAAAGATAGATAAATATTTCAAATATTTATTAAATTTTAAACAGACACATGCATACATAGTTTTAAACGAGTTTTATAAAGTGGAGAACAGAAAAAAAATTATTCACCTAGCCAAAAAATCAATTTGCTTATTTTTTACTTTAGATACTCGCCAATGTAGTTACCGGAGTAATATCCATTTTGGTAAATTTCATCTTCAGTTCTATCTAGCTATTGGTAAGACTTTAGCAAAGAAATATATATTTTCATTATTCGGTGTTCCCGCCGACGTTTGCTTTCGACCATTGTCTAATACATCATTAAGAGTTTATTTGCTTGTATCATGTGACATGCTTACAGTGATTTTACAATTGGTACTGCTCACAAAATGTAGGGGCAAATGTTACGTACTACTTTTAGTGCGTTGAAATCTTCGAATCCTATATAATTATATATTTAGGGTGTGAATTGTGTGTTCTCGTATTCAAAATTATATGCATACCGTGATATGTATATATATATATTTGGTTGGATCGTCAGACGATCGCAAAAGCGTGAAACACAGGGTCACAAACTTACATCAATCCAACCAAATATGTTAGCTCTATCTCTTATATTGAGCGCTATCGAATAAGTACCGCGCATATAATATATAAATAATTATATTTATATACAGACACCTTTCACACACACATATATATATATATATATATATATATATATATATATATATATATATATCTTAGGGTGTGCTATATTTATGGGATAAAGTTCTCAATATCAGAGATAGAGCGTGTGTAAATATAAAAGTGAACATAGAAGTCAACACAGTCTGTTTCATGCTATATGCAATCGTCAGGCCACGATTGCATATAGCATGAAACAGAATGTCGCCTCTAAGTGTTGACTTCTATGTTCACTTATTATATATATATATATATATATATATATATATATATATATATATATATATATATATATATATATATGGATGGGCGCTGGGCCGAGTGGTTAGAACGTTCGCTTTCCATTCGACCGGGTTCGAATCTCACTATGGTCTGAACTGAGGCCGTCGATGGACTTTTTCAATGCGAAAACGAAATGAATTTATTAAAACAAAATAACTAATACTAACAAAACAAAATGTCCTTAGCAACTTTTTGATTTCTTGATACAGTTGTGTGCGTTTTCTTGGGAGAGTAATTATTTTAGGAAAGGGGAAATAGGTAAATAGCCTGAGCGTAGATTAATATTTGGATATTAATAATATTTCTGACGCAGGCATTTATAGAATAAATTGCCAAAACTGTTCCTCCCAATATAGAGAAATGTAATAAAAACGTATTTATGAGCTCAAAAGATACCTCACAAAAAAAACTAATGCACTAGTCATACATAGAAATAAATTCAACCACAATTTTGATTTAAATTAAATTTTCATAAAAAGAAAATAACTCACTCAGAAGGAAAACCCTCGAGAGTGCCGCCATTGAATATTATCCAAATATTAATCTATGAAAATATTAATCTAAGAAAATGGTTGAATCCATCATCACAATAATAAAAACAATCTTTCCACACGTGACAGTACTTGATGTAATTTTCAGTTGACAATATGAATATAACAGCGTTCTCTAAATTCTTCCAGTTGCTAAGGACATTTTGTTTTGTTATTATTAGTTACTTTGTTTTAAGAAATTAATTTCGTTTTTGCCTTGAAAAAGTCCACATTGGACGAAACGCGTCTACTAATATTATAGTTCTCCTATTGTCTTTTACATTTATATAGTTTTCCTATTGTCTTATATATATATATATGTAAGCAAATATATGGATATAGATCCGACAGTATGAAGAAAAATACAGAAACAAAAAAAATAGATTTTTGTTTGTTTTTTTCTGTATTTTTCTTCATATATATATATATATATATATATATAGAATAAACGTTATTTGTATTGAACCTAAGCGTTTTAGTAGACATACCTTTTTTCTATATTCCAAATTAATGTCA